CAATGTGCTTCGAGCTCTTATCAGAGGATGTTTGGAAACAGACCCTCAGGCCAGACCAACTATGGAAGAAATAATTGATGAAATAGAACCGGAAGCGCAGGGCACCTTTTGATAGAGTTTTCTAATCAACTTCAAACATAATGTTGTCTGTATGGTTTGCAGTATTGCTACTGTACCGGACGATCATATAGAAGATCCTGCAAAGAAAACTCCATCTTTCCCGATGTAACTTATGTGTTCGGATGTATCTTCTGAAAACTTGTAGACTTTTTCTGTCTAGACGTGTTCAGCTTTCCATTATTCCTTACCTAGGTATTTACACGCTGATCTCGTAAGGATTTAGATAAAAGCGTCCGTTTGGTGTGTAAAGAAAGAAGGCACAGTCCGATACCACCAAGAAGGTGTCATCAAGAGTCCATTTTCGGGCACCTGCTTTAATCGATAAAAGCAGGCTTGGCACGGATTAGCACGACTGAGCCCTCTCAGCGTAAATCATCCATCTTATTGTCAGACTTATTTATCGTCTGCAAATGTGATAGCATACCATTATGATTTTTTTGCCTAACGTTTCATTACAAAACTTCCGTCCGTCGATATAAATTTTTATTGCGATATTTGTAGTGTGTTGGTTTGGTTAGACTAAATACAGCTATCATTTTTAATTTTTTGGTTTTGTCTATCGTGTGGTCTGGTCGTTTTGGTTAGAGCGGTACTGAAAGGATTGCTCTTGGTAACAAGGAATGACCTTTAACAAGCTAGCGGGAGACTGTCAAAATAACAGTAACGTCCACTGAAAAAGATCCTTTTTAGGACTTCTCTAACCTGTTCCTTCTGCGTTCAGATCATTTACTGTAAAATTACCTCAAGATGTTATGCGACTCAGTGTTTTCCTGAAAAGTGACGGTAACAATACTTCTTACCAAAAATGACAATTTTTTTCTTCTGCCTTGTGATTGACCAAATTTTTAGAAGAAAAATTTTTTCCAAAACCGAGTGGTGGTTATTCATCAGAATCCACAATAAGTAAGACCCTGATCTAAGCGTTCAAAGTAACAAATCAGTGAAGACATGATCCTTGCAAGCGAGCATCAGTAAAGAAATTCAAGAAAAGAACTTTGCAAAATTCTGACTTCGAGAGGATTCGAACCCGAGCACTTCCGGGCATTATAACCAATTGAGCTGCGGAGACTCAGGCTGGAATTATTGCAAATTCTTCTGGGATTGTTGTTCCCGTAGAGGATTATGTATTAAATGAAATAAGTAATATTTTTATCCGAGGATGAAGTACAAAATGAAGAACTAATTTTTGCAGGTGAGCTGCAGCTAAAGAAATTGCAAAGTAGAAACTCTTCCCTTCGTCCTTTATACAAAATTTCTGTGGAAAGAAAGAATTTCAGAGCTTTCTTATTTGCTCATAACTTTTAATTTGGCCATATCTTAT